TCTTACTTTCAGAGCTAATGACTACACATTTCTACATCTAAATGCAGTATTCAAATCCCTTGCAGCTTATCCCTGAGATGCCTAGGATTTTGATTAAACAACTGATATTTCTTCCAATTTAGCTAAAATAAAGTTTCAATTTTGCCAATTATCATGTTTTGTTTCTTTTAAAATTTCAATAAATTAACATAAAAATCATGAAAATATTATGCATACTTCTCTAAGATTGAAAAAAACACCAAATTTATTCAAAAGAAACATTTAATCATTCTGTTATAGGTGAATTCTATTCAAACACATTCTGTCTCCCTACATGCTACCAAGACAAATTCTAATAAATTGTACTCAAGTACTATTTTAACATAACCTGATTTCCTTTCCCTACTCTCCATGAAGAATCCATCCTATTCAACAGGATCAGCTAAGTGTTTGGGAAACTGCTATTCTGTGCTTCTAGCATCCTACTATATGTTTTTAAAATTCATGTATATAGAGGATATTTTATCTGCATTATTTCTATAAAATATTCTAGAGTTCAATCACTACTAACTGAATTTTTATTGAATAAAAGATGATTTGTCATACTTTAGGATATGAAATAAATTATAGCTTCATGAATACCTGCTGTTACATTGTACTTGCAAAGGTGGGTGTGTGTACATACTTTCATCAATTTGTGTGTGTGATTATATTTGTAAGAGTGAAGTTACACACATGCACAGTTCAAAATGAAAATAAGCTCAAACAACTTATTTAGTTGTTTGTTCATTATTAGATTTTAAAGGAGGAAGAGCTATATTGTTCTAGATTATCAAAAAATAGAAGTTTTGACATAGGACAATATGTAAGGCATAGATGTGCCCAAAACAGTGAAAATTCCAGAGAAAAGATGAGAACCTATAGGGTTGTTTTAACTAATCATGAAGTTTAGAACTAATAAAGAGGTAAGTGAATGGAGAACAGAAAATCCTCTGGAGAGAATACTGAAGATTAAATATGTTGCTTTATATCACAAATGGCTTTTGAAGATTTCCAGTTATAACAAAACGTTCTGTGACTCATCCAAGGTACCATTACTGAAGTGCCCTTCATCAGTTACATTGTTATAATAAAATGCCATGACCAACAGCCCTTTGAGGGATAAAGAGTTACTTTCAGTTTAGGGATCCAGGTTGTCGAGAATCTATAATGGCTGGAAAGGCATGGCAGGAAGCAGAACAACCACACTTCATTACTAAACAGGAAGAAGAGAGGCAGGGAGAAAGATGGGTGATGCTGTAACCCCCCAATGCCCATTTCCAGTGATTTACTTTCTGCACCAAGGCTGCCCATCCTAAAGGTTCCATGACATCCTCCAACAGTACCACTGATGGCAACCAAGTATTCTAGTATGTAAGCTTAATAGGGATATTTTTAACAAAACCAGCCACAAAGTCCCTTTTTTTTTTCTTTAGCCACTTGGTCAACTAAGATTTTTCTGGCTACCTAGAACTCAGGAGGTGTCTAAGGCAGGAAACAATAACACCTAACAGTATTATTGTTCTCAATTCAGCTTTTAATCATATTAGCTTTGTTCCAGGAAGCCATAAACAATAGTATCTGTCGCTGTCAGTTTAATTTCAATTTGGCTAGCTTCGGGACAGTTTAAGGTCCTGTGGTTGTCTTGTCTTTAATAGTACCATGTGCTGTAAGCAGCTTGTGTACCCGCATTCCACACTGAGGGGCATTTGCAGGTTGGTTTTTACTTGTCATGAAAGATTAGGGCTTGAATATGAGCTAAAAGGAGGTAAAGGTTTTTTCTGTTAGTGTTTGGAATTTGCCTCCACTGACCGCTTCTGGTGCCATGTGTCTCATAGAAAGCTGACATACTTACAATCATGATAGTGATTAATTGATAACTATCACTACTTAATTGATACAGGTACAGGAAAGGCAGTTAAAGGCCCTTTATTTGCTCATTTTCATTCTTAGCAACCCTTATCATGAACCTAAGAAACTATATATTTGGGATTGTTATTTGATATCGGGATGACCTGTGTGTAACAATCTTTATGAGAAGCCCATTTCTTTTGAGTGGTTTAAATCACTCTCTTCCTAGGAGTAACCCCTCACTCATATTCCTGAAAGTAACCTTAATAAAACTCATTAGTGCTTGGACTTTGGTGACTCACTATCTAGGGGAGTAGACATGTGTATAGTATCTACCCAGGAAAAGTTTGGTCATACAACATTTGTACACATGGAGTTTAATTTCTTCTCAGAATCACCATGAGAACATTTAAAGGCTTGCTGGCTACAAGTGTATATGAATGAAATAATTTTAATGTGTCAATCATCAACCAATGAAACTAAGTCACTTGTGTAACTCACATACAGCTGACCATACATTCATGAACCATTAAAGGATGCCATTGGTTAGTGAACCTGGAGCTTCATGAACAATAACAAGTATTGTTTGAAGCTGCATAATGATTTGTTAGGTTGCATTTTTTTTGTAACAATACTTAACAGATACAAAGACATCAGGATGAACTGAAATTATATTATGTTATATCTGAGCAACAGTGTTGCACTGTAGTATTAAATCCTCTTATTCAGAAAGCATAATCTCCTCAGTTATTTTAATGTAGCTATGTAATTCCAAAGGTTTCAGGCATTATTCATCATCATCTTAGAGAGAATAGTATTTGATAAACAAACAAACAAAAATCCATGAAAACTTTATCTTACGTGAAGTCATCCAATCAGAAATAACCAAAAACTCTATGGTGAAGGGTTCCTGACAGGAAAAAAAAAAAGAACCTTCATGTTTCAAAATACTTCAATTTTGAATGTAAAAAAATTTGTGAATAATATTAATATGTAGAGAATAACCACATGGAATTAGAAACTTAAAAGTCATGTCTGTAGATGCTGTTTTCATATTATGATCTCCTGGACAATCGCAACATGAACTGAAGGAAAATGTCATGTTTTTACTAATGTGTATTTCCATTCTCACACAGAGTTGGTTAAGTTGCACCTTTCTTCATGGCTGGCTTAGCTTCCAAATCTGGCCTTATCTTGCATTTCCTGTCCTTGTGACTGGTGGTATCAGTTCTAGGTTAGTGTGAATTATGTTTTCTTAAAACTCAGTTCTTTAAGTGGAAATCTAATTAAGGACACAGGATTATATTGGGTTCACTATGAAATGTCAAGTAAACTTTGATAAAGATTTGGGGGAAGAAATTCAAATTTAAAAATATATTTTTTCGTTATCACTGTTCTTCTATACATCTTCCAAATGTCTAATTGGAAGTGTTACTTGTCAATTAACTGTCACCCATAACTGTATTTATTCTGATAACTAACAACAAGCATTGTGCTTGACTGTTATCAATTTCCCTCAGTGTCAGCAAGCATCCTTTCCACCCTCCTGAGTACACTTATTCTGCCTGCTCTGCACCCTGTGCCTTTTCTCAGTAATTTCAGATCTCTACCTCTTTTTTTAAAGTTCAGGTGTTCATTCAGAGCTTCTGTCTACATTCTTTAAATCTTAGTGTGCAATTTCAGACGAAAGGTGTTTTATCTTTCTCCAGAAGTCTGTGCTTTTCACTTAGAAAATGACAAAAGTAGATATGCCTCAATAAACCATTGACCTTAACCCATCTGCAGCCATGAATGTCCTCCCACAGTTACCTTTCACCCTAGGGCCATATTCATACCCTGTTTTTGCTGCTTGGAGAACAATCTAGCTATTATGCCATTTTTAACTGAGGGTACTGTCTTTTTAAACCTTTTAAGTAAATTGGTTCTTTTAGAATTTCATACAAATATAAAGCACATTTCATTTATCTAACACCAAATTTAATATAAAAGTACAGATGTATCAAAATTAATAGAATTATTGATACTTTTATATTTATCTCTGTTGTTAGAAAAGCAGATGCCATTTAGGAGAATCACTTTTCTGGGTGAATATTCATTATGTGTAGTGATGGGCTTCATAAACATCCTGTTCATATGCTCAACAAAGTAGGGTTACTTGTAGGTCATTGAATTACTTTATAAATACTTGTCAGTGAATTTGTTAGAACTTTAAAATGTGTATGTCATAAATAGGAATAATTTCTATATGAACACCTACTTCCTTTCTTATTCAAAGCATTCACTAGTGAGAAACCACAATCTTTGAGTATGATTCCATTTGTAAATTTATTATGAAATTAGTACTTTTGTATCACTTTCTAAAATTAGAGTTTCAAACTTGCATGCAGATATTTTTATTTAAATTTAATTAAGTTTTCTATACTAAGAGAGAAGCTAATCATAAAATAGCTATTTTCTGATTCTCTCATTGTTTCATAAGAGTGTGAGAGACAGTACACAGGTTGAGCAGCACATGTAGACAGCATCCTGGTTATGCTCATACAATAACCATATTTAAAGGACATATATACTAAAATATTCCCTTTCATTAGACACTGGGTTCTAAATGTGTAGTACATGAGCACAATAGTTATGTAGATCAAGTGCTCAGGCATCCATAGGAATTAATGATGTCTAAGCATATTTTGTTTTGTTTTTCAGAATACCAAGTGTGTGTGTGTGTGTGTGTGTGTGTGTGTGTGTGTGTGTGTGTGTGTGAGAGAGAGAGAGAGAGAGAGAGAGAGAGAGAGAGAGAGAGAGCGCTAAACATTTATGAGATGGAAAGAGGGAACTACTAGACAGAGTTATATAAGCTCAAATATAAAATAGTATACTCACAATGGAAGAAACATATTACAAAGAAATATTTTATACAATATGCCAAAATTTTGAATGAATGTTTAATCAGAAAAGCATCAATGAGACAATATGTACAATGCTCACAATAGACGTTTATTAAGGTAACATGCTGAGAAATATCATAAAATGAACAAAGGAGAAGTCTTCAGCACAGTAGGGTAATAGTAGGCATCCTAAGTAATTGATTCTGCATAGGATTATTAGATTATTGCAAAATCTGAGGACCAGTAAAATCAGTAAAATCCTGAGGACCAGTATCTGCCATAGAAAGAGGGACGGAAGTATCCATAGCCACCATAGCCCCCAAGAACATAGCTGGAACCATAGCCATAGCCCAGGCCACCAAAGCCACCAATGCCATAGCCAAGGCCACCATAGTAGTTGCCGTAGTAGTAGCTCATTGTGTTTGAGATTTAGGACTTGATGTGCTGTTGAAGGTGAGTTTCTGGAGAATGAATGCCACTTCTGTGCTCGGGTTTTTATAGTGTTCCTGTGCAGGTATGATAAACCACAACAAAGGGATAACCTTCTCTTTGAAAATACACCTTTGCTGAGAACACAACATCATCAAGCCATATTCTACATATTTAACATATTTCCAAGATAAATGAAGACAGTATTCCTTTGAACCATGTTTTATTTTTACCCTCAAAATTAGGCTCATTTACTGAACAGTCTGTCAGATCATGCTCTGAGATTTTATTGGATATCAAGCTCCTTTAGTATTGGATATCAAGCTCCTTTAGTTCAGAGATCCTGGACTGTTATCATTGTTGTGTTATCTCCATCTGGTTAGATTCTTCTTGAAGATGGCCTTCTTTCTTGACTTAACAGATAACGCTGAACATTATAAAATAACCATAAATGAATGCATTTAATTTAAAGTCATGGGAGAATAGATTTTTCAAGAAGAGCGTGAGAATAGTACTAAGCTTTACTGGTATGTTTCCATATCAATGTTAAGCTTTTTATTTAAATTTTTATGCAATGCACTTTGATTATATTTTCTCCACCTCCACTCCTTCCAGATCCTCCCACCTCACTACATACTGAATTTCTCCTCACTTCTTAAAAAAATCAAAAGAAAAGCAGCAAAAAACAAAAATAAAAACAGACAAACTAGAAAGAAAGGAACAAAGAAACAATATTTATCATATATGTAGCTACACTCTTTCGCATATACCCAAAGGACTCTACACCTTACAAGAGAGATACTTGCTCATCCATATATATTGCGACTCTATTCATAACAGTCAGAAGCTGGAAACAGCTGAGATGTCCATGATTTTTTATGATGAACTTGGACGCATCATGTCCACAAACAGAGTAACAGATCCAAGCTCAGTTTTCAAGTGTCTTTATGAAATGGTTTATGTGATACAGCCATTCTTTAATGAGTTCTCTCTAATTGGTCCATAAGTATTATTCTATCTTCCATTTGAAATGTCTCATCCCTTCCCTCTATAGCGCCTCCTTTCTGCATTCTAGTACACGAACACCAGCCACAAACTGTTATACGTGTAAATCCACACTGACTCATTCAGAATTAGACTTTTGTTGTTTACTGTTTTAAACTAGTTAGACAAGCTGGCATATAAACAAGAAATGGAGCTGCAATTTTGTTCTTATTGTGACACATTTTAGAAGCAACCTATTCACTGAATGTTAAAATTTCTTTGCAAAAATGTCATTAACATTTTCAAAGTGGCCTATAAGAGAAAAAAAATATACAAAGCAATTTTCCCCACAGAAGAGTTTTAAAATAGATTACCATTATTAAGACTGACATTAATTATAATAATCATATCAATGTAAAAGTGCTGTTACAGACTTTTGGACAGAAAAATGATGGATGTGAGAGGAGCACATGGAAGTCTTAAATAACTTCCTGTCCTAGAATGGTGTGAAAATATTCATACCTCCATACATTCCTCTCATACTCAATCTTACTTCACTTAATGATTTCACCAACTAGATAAATGTATAGACTATAATATGTGGCCCACCTTGGTCATAAGCCATTATAACACACAACCATACTTTCAACTACCATGTTTGGCTCATTCATCACATGACTGCCTACATTTGTCTCTAATAATGAACTACAATTTTGTTATTAGTTTGTACCCTGTCTTTTTACTTCATGAAATTATTTACTGCCATCTGGATGCAGTTAATGTTACACCTTCAAAATTCACTTACTTTCTATACCAAGCATTATGGTATGCATAAATGTTAGCTAGACATTTCTGTGGGAAAATATCAGAATTTCTTCAGTATCATTTTGTTGCTTTCCAACGATTTTCTTTCAAGTATATTTTATCTTCACATAACAGTGTTTATAATTGTTCATAGTACATATTAAAATGTTGTTTTAAAATATTTTATCTTTTAAATTTTGATCATGTTCATTCATCATTGCCTCCCCCAACTTCCTACAGTGTCCCTACCCTGATCCCCTCGTAACTTCATGTCCTCCATTTTTTTACTGTTGTTTATGACCCTAAGAGTCCAATTAGTGCTGTATTATGTGTATTGCTCATGCAATAAAGAATAAGCCACCCGCTACCAGTCTTGTTTCAAAGGAGAGTGACTCTTCCTCCGTCCAACCGCACTTTCTCCTCTGCCAAAGGTGGGAACTCAGAGGCTCCTCTCCATCCGTGATAGAACCATGGTGCTGTGAGTTGATAACTGCAAGAGCCATGTTCAGAAGTTATCATTCCTCTGCTCTCCTCCTCGTTTTTCAGATCCTAAGGCCTATAAGCACACCCTTCCTTGGTGTCCCTGAGCCTTGTGTGGGAAGAAGGTGTTAAACATGATTCCTTTGTTGCTGAGCACTCACAATTACTTACACTTGGCACTCTATTATGAGTCTCTGCATTAAGCATTTCCCACTGGGAAAAGATGCATTTCTGACCAAAGTTGAGACTAACACATATCTAGGGGCATAAACATAAATGCTTAGAAGGTAGTTTGACAGCATGAGTATTTAGCATACATTGTATTGTTTAATTAGATCTATATACTGTTCAGTATGGTAATTCAAAATTAACTCAGAAACTTGTCTATATTTCTCTTGAGCTTATTGCTTTCTGTTTTGTTTTGCATAACAATACATACACATGCTACCTTTTCTTTGCTCTGCCACTTCTCTAGATTGTTTAATTCCTTACATATAAGCAAGGTGCATGTAAAGACTGCTTCTATATAAATTCTCTTTCTATATATGCCTTAATGTTTAGAAGCCTTACCAAAAAAGTAACAAAAATTCTGTCCATAAAACTTTGTAAATGTGTAAAATTAGTCACTGTTCTCTACATATCCATTACAAGCCAGTCATTTTAAATAATTCTTGCCAAGATTAATTATGTTTTGAAACAAGCTGTGTAAAGGTTTAAAACATTATTATTTACTTCCTATACATGGTGCTTTACTATTTAAAGTCTTTTTTTTATTTAGTTTATCACTATATAAATAATTGCTATGTGATTGCTACCAGAGTTCTAGTTTTGCCTTACATCAATGATACTCACCTCAAGTACAATTCATCACTTCACTAAGTTGTAAATTAAGATTGGCACAATCACAAACACGCTAGTAGCAAGGTAGTAAATATCACTGGAGATCAATGAAGACTCCTGTGACTAATGTTGTGAAAAATAAATTGTGTTTGATGTCATTTTCTTGAATAACTAAAAGCCACCAGAGACATTAGATGATTCCAGAATCAGGAGCTTCTTGTCAGTAGACAGTTTTACATTTGAGGCAGCCATCTAGAGAAAACATTTTCAATGAATACCATTTATGGTTTAAATGAGAGACAATTAATAATACTCACTTTAGTTGGGGAAAAGGGCACTTAAATATTGGTTACAATTAACTGTATATATATATATATATATATATATATATATTAACCTGTAATAAAAGTAGAATTAAACTTGAAAAGCTGACTGTTACCTGCTTAGTCATAAAAGCGTGAAGACAAACTGAGCATGAGCAAATTGTGTTACTGAGATCTCTATCTCTCTGTAAAAAATCTACTGCTTTCAGGTTGGAAATAAGTCCCACTTAACAAGAGGGAAATTGTGCCTGGTACTGGAAATGTAGACAACCACCAAGGGCTAATGAAGTAATTTATCTTGAAGGAGAACCTACAACTATCATTAACTAAACCAGGATAATCCCCAAATACATTCTAAATATGGCTTGGAGGGAGGAAAGGGAAGGGGGGACTGAGGTAATCATATCGTTATCTAAAAATACAATTAATACTAATTTTAAAATACCTACAAAGACCTTACCAGATCAATAGTACCTTGTCAAGATTCTTCGGGGTTACCTTTTGTTTTACTCATGGTTAAATGGCTAGGTTTTTATGGATTGGGAACAAAGACGTGTGATTGTTTGACCTTTTTTATCTCATGCTCTAAGATAATTATCTTGGCACTACTGATTTTAAACTTTAAATTCAAAAAAATTTCTATGAGGATAAAGAAAAAATAGCATCTGATGACAAGTGTCTACAGACAAAAGCCTGTATGATATTCTCATTGTTTCATAAAAAGATACTTGATAAGGAACACACCGAATACAAAGTGAACAGCAAGGGGTGGTTGGGTCTTGATTGCAAAGCTCATAAAACAACTATATTTTAAAGGAATAGTATGCTAAAAATATTTTCTCACCTCACACTCTAAGGTCAGTATGAATGTATCATTAAACATGTTGTTATCCATTGTATATAAAATTATGAAACTTAACTCTAATCATTAGGATTAGATACAGTATTTGGATTTAAGGGTATTTAAATTTGTTTATTTTTGTAGAAAATATCAAGTCAGAGATACTAGATAAAAGATCACCAGGTAAGCCGGGCGGTGGTGGCGCACGCCTTTAATCCCAGCACTCGGGAGGCAGAGGCAGGTGGATCTCTGTGAGTTCGAGGCCAGCCTGGGCTACCAAGTGAGTTCCAGGAAAGGCGCAAAGCTACACAGAGAAACCCTGTCTTGAAAAACCAAAAAAAAAAAAAAAAAAAAAAAAGATCACCAGGTAAGAAATAATTTTAAAGGATGTGTTTCAGTGAAATATACCAATCAGACACATCTAAGTTATGACTAAGAAGCACATTTTGCACAAAATACAAGTGAATCATGACTTAGTGTGTTTGTAAAATCCTTATTGGAATAACATGTTGAGAAACATCACAGAAAGGGATGAAGAAGAAATCCTCATGTACACAGTGCACTGGAATGAAGATATACAGCTGGAGTGATGGATCTGGGTAGGGAAACTGATCACCACAGATCACAGTCATGATTTCAGGAAAACTGAGGGAGCAGGTATCCTCTATAGAATGAGAGATGAGAGTACCTGTAACCATAGCCACCATTGCCACCAT